CATACAACCAAAAACCGCACATCCACCGGCAACCTCACCCTCCTGCTGTTTCCAGAGCTTCATCGAACTTCCGAATACTGCCCCAAACAAAAAGCATCGACTGCTTACAGCCGTCAAGATCAAGCTTGGGGTTGCTTGATCCAGGACGTCTCTACGAGGTGCCGCGCCAGAGACGCCCTGCGTCCTCCGGCCTTCTCTCAGCAGGGCTGACAGCAGGGCTGACAGCAGGGCTGAAGCGTTTAGGCGGCTCTGGCGTTTCCGGAAACCACGGAAATACGAGAGCACGAGGGCATGAGAGCGGGCGCCAAAGACAAAGGCTGAGCCACACATCACTCCGCATTAATAAGGCGGCTCGACCGAACGGACGGGTGCATCGGCGCATGAATCATGCGATCCAATTCATAGATGCCCAGCAGACGCGAGAAGCAGCAAGGTTACGATTGGCAACAGGCGACTTGGACTGGCGTAATCTAATCTAAAAAAACGCTTTGGTGCGCGCTGTCACAGTGACAATCCTGGCCCACGTGGTAGGAACGGTAGAGCGAGCGAGCCGTTAGAGAACGGAAGACGCGTCGAAGAGGAGCGTTCCATGGATGGCTTGTGGCGCATCGTGTCGCTCGCTGAACGATCGAAGCCCCGGCACGCACCACACCGAGCTGAATCTCTGGGCTAACTCACAGCGGCAACAACAGCCGACCGACCCAGCCGATGTCTTTCCGGCCCGCTTGGCGCCCCGCTCATTGACAGATGCCGCCATCTTACCAGAGCTTGCGTAGCGAAGCCTAAACCCTTCTCGATCAGTCGTTGATGCGTGTCATCTACTTTGTTCAGCCAATGAAACCAGGCATCATCCACTGATGGGGAAAAGGTACCGGTCTCCCTGTTGCGACCGGTCTCTCCCGGTGCGTGCTGGAACCTGATCCCATGGGACATGAGCTGAAGAAAAATCTCCTGAATGTGATGCGGACCAGTGCGTCCAGAAGGACCGAAGATGTGGTTTTGGCGTGCGTTTGCATGCACGTGGGACGCCTTCCACTGCGGCTCGAGCTGAGTTCGAAGGCGAACACCACCGCGGCACGGACAGCCGGTCAATCCGTGGGCGGCTGCCGCAGGGATCGCGAAATAAATCTCGCGCCACACACCGGGAGTGGACATTAGGTGCCCCAATTGGGCATCTTGGCCGAGCTGGTACCCTACCGGACCATCTGGGCAGGGGCCTTCGGTATATCGGCGCATTGCTTTTGCTGATTGCACCCCTTGTCCATCAAAGAAGGCTGTCCTCCGCGACTGCGCAAGACGCCTCTGACTCTCTGTGACTTCGACAGCCTTACAGAACTACTCTACGAAGCACATTCGACGACTGGAGAATGAACTAGGAGCTCAAAAGCACGAATGACCTCTATTGAACCGTCCGCGCATACCAGACCAGACATTGACGCTCCAGGGCCGTCGAGCAACGAAGTACGCATCCGTCACAATCGCGCCAGTATGGCAACTTCATCTCGACAGAGCGATATCGTCAACGATGGAGGCAAGGATCTTTACCATGAGTCCGTCGCAGAGATCGTCCCGCACTCCCCACCCACTCCACCAGATGATAACCACGACGAGCATGACGAAAAGGACATGTCTCGTATGGGCAAGAAGCAAGAGCTGAGGGTATGCGCAGTGTTTCCATCGCAGTAGATCCTTGCTGACAAGGCGACAGAGGAACTTCCGGAAAATGTCCACGCTGAGCTTCACGTCCTTAATTATGGCAACCTGGGAGTTCGTCCTAATATCCAACTTGTACGGCATGATAGACGGCGGTCTGGCCGGGCTGTTCTGGTCGTACGTCTGGACTGCCATTGGATTCGGCTTCGTTATCGCGTCATTGGCGGAAATGGCATCCATGGCCCCTACTTCTGGAGGACAGTACCATTGGGTCTCCGAATTCGCGCCGCCGCAATATCAAAAGTTTCTCAGTTACATTGTGGGTTGGCAGTCGACACTGTCTTGGCAAGCCGGAACTGCGTCGGGATCATTCCTCACGGGTACCATCATTCAAGGGATGATTACCATCAACAACCCGGACTACGAACCTCAGAACTGGCATGGGACGCTGCTCATCTTCTCCATGGTTATCGTATTATACGTCTTCAACACATGGGCTGCGGCGTGGCTGCCGGACTTCCAGAATATCCTCATGATACTCCACGTCTTCGGCTTCATTGCTGTGGTAGTCGTCCTGTGGGTGTTGGGACCGCATCCACCAGCTAGTGCCGTGTTCCTCGAATTTCAAGATTTCGGAGGCTGGAGTTCGATAGGCCTAAGCTTGATGGTTGGACAGATTTCCGCTATTTTCTGCCTGATCTGTACGTGCTCCGTCTGCCGTATCATGAGTTCCGCATCAGCTAATTGCTTCCACAGGCTCTGATTCTGCTGCACACATGTCGGAAGAGGTCAAGAACGCTGGTATCGTTGTGCCAAGGTCGATGATGTGGTCGTACATCATAAATGGCTCGCTGGGGTTCATCATGCTCGTCACTCTTTTATTCTCCATCCCAGACGTCGAGGCTGCAATTGACGACCCTACCGGTTACCCTTTCCTCTGGGTGTTCCAGCAGACGATGCCGACGCGTGGGACGAATGTGCTTACCACCGTCATCCTTCTGCTAGTCATTGCAGGCAACATCAGTGTCAACGCTTCCACCTCGAGACAGACGTATGCTTTTGCACGCGACAGAGGTCTCGTGTTCAATGACTGGATCGCTCGTGTAAGATATTTCCAGCCATATTGCTGTGCCGATTGTGGAAACTAAACTACACGCACTAGGTACACCCCAAACTTTTGGTACCAGCAAACGCCGTAACCCTCACCTGCATCATTACCGTCCTTCTCGCCCTCATCAATCTCGGCTCCACCGTAGCTTTCAACGCCATCATTTCTCTACAGCTTGTCGCGCTCATGTTCTCCTACTTCGTGTCCATTGGCTGCGTCCTGTACAAGCGTATCCAGAACCCCAAGGCGCTGCCAGAATGTCGGTGGAGCCTCGGTCGTTATGGCCCGGCGATCAATCTCGTCGCCATTCTTTACTCGCTATTCTCATTCTTCTGGTGCTTCTGGCCGAACGAGGCATCAGTCACTACGGAGAACTTCAACTGGGCGATCGTCATCTTCATGGGGACGCTCATTGTTTCTTTAGTCATGTATTACACCAAGGGCCGCAAGGAGTACGACGGCCCAGTCGTTTCGGTAGAAGGCTTCTTAGCGGAAAGGCGGATGTTTGCTTAGTCCGTTTTTGCGTGTAATGTCTTTCTTTCTTCCTGTGGGGTTTCTAGAGATACCAGGTTTTAGGGCTACGGCATGTGGATGGGTTCTCTACGATAGGGGGCGGGCCCGCTACGATGTCGGAGGGGATTGGATACGAAAATCACGATCAAAAGTGGGGTCGGTTGGGAGGTATCTTTCGTGTTTTGTATATATGCGTTTGGCTACGTTCGCCTTATAGAACTGCTAGGTCGTTGGTTCGCGCCATAGCATCGATCTAGATTAGAATCTATCGTTCGATATAAGCTGAGAATCATTGTCTCAATTTAACTCCGGATTTATGGCATTAGCCTGAAAGCGTCTTGAAACTACACCACACACCTAGAGTCCTGGGCGTATCCTTTGGACTCCCAGAAACGAACGCGTTCTTGTCTATGGCCGCCAGGCTGTCACCTCGGCTTGCTCCCAGGTCGACGCAGCCACTTCCCATCGACGGGCGCGCAACTTCTTGCTTGCTGTCTTGATCTAGCCATCCCTCATAACCACATCGGCAATGCCACCTCGCCCACCACCCACATCACGTCACCTCCCCACCATTCTTCCTCTTGACTGCCATCCACGCACTCAACGGATCCGCCCAAATCTCCCAATGCCCAAACCTCCCTTCCTGATCCCACTCACTGAGTCGATAGACAAACGCCTCATCCCAGCCCTTCCCCGTCTCCACACTTTCGAACCTCGCCCTGCCCACCACGCTCACGACGCCCTTGCCTGTCTCCTCCCCTGTCCCTGCGCCCTCGTCTGTGACCTCGGCTTCCACGTCCACGATAAACCCCTCCGGTCCAGGGAAGGTGGACTCGCTCATCTGCATCTTCAGTACCTTGGTCAGCACCTCGAAATACTCGACACAGCCCTCCTTCCCGCTGAACGTTTTGCCGAGGAAGGGCAGCGCAGCTGTCGCCCAGCTGGGGCCGTGTTCTGTGATGCGGGGGCTGTTTGGGGCGAAGAACTTCTCGATGAGCTCGGGCGGAGGAGGTGGAGAGAGGAGGGCGCGGCAGAAGGCGTGGGCGTTCTTACGGAGAAGGGAGGCGCGGGTGGAGGAGGGGTCTGTAGTCGTTTCCGGTGCTATGAGTGGGAGGACTGCTTCTGGGGCTGGTGGTGCTGCTGAGCCGGACATGTTTGCAGGATACTTGGAGGGTCTAGGGAATGCTTCTTTCTGTTCGTCGGTGCTGAAAGTAGTGTCGTGGGAAGATGATCTAGAGAGCTGAAATGCTTTTTAATGGAGCGCTCGGGTTACACAGTCAGTGTGACGTCATGCGTCGTAAGAGATGGACTTTGAGGCTGGCGTTTATGAAGAGTGAGGCGCGAACCGGGTATGGTTTGGAGATGTGCTTCAATATGCTAGGCGTATATGGAATCTTGCAGGGCAAGTCTGAAACTATGAGGATATAATAAAGAGCGCCGCTTGATGAAATTAAGGTTGAAAATCTACCTTTACCACCGCTCGGTAGTCGCTGCGCTCTGCTACAATTCCAGGCTGTTGCTATGCATTTACCAAGTGTACGGTCACTTTGTAGAGGAGTTTGAAGAAGAGGGCTTGACGGTTTGGTTCCAACCAGCCCTTCCCCATCCATTTAAGGTCCACTATGCAGATTTCAGGCTTCACACAAACTTCAGGCTTCAGGAAACTATGAAATGATGCCTGAACAGCAAAAATGCATCAAATTAAGCCAAAAGAAGCGCAAAAGAAGGGCCTGGCCGGGATTTGAACCCGGGGCCTGTCACATATAAGACGCTGAGCGTCCAGGCGAGGTAACCCGAAGCGACAATCATACCACTAGACCACCAGGCCTCAGATGAGAATAAAATTTCAGCATGAAAATTTTTATCGCTTGCGTTTAAGCTATCGCATCCACGGCTCACGGAGTCGCTTAAGCCGATAGCAAGCCGGTGAATACCGCAAAGAGGTACTCGAAACTGCGAGTCTAAAAATTTGAGGCCTGCTGTGGGATCTGAGGCCTGCGATGGGTGATTGGCGTTAACAGGCCTGCCACCACACTCTCCTTTAGCCGTAAAAAGGCAAATTACAGCCTATTCAAAAGCTCAAGGAATCTTAATGGATTCAGCTATCCAAAGATCGCGAGGTTAAGATATTCCTCTGTTGTCCAGAATGACACAAGCAGCAAAGGGCGATCATACCCAAACTGCTTGATCACTGAGGCATAAGGGCTCTTTATCGTTGATCTTCCGCTTGTTGTCGCGCACTGTCAAAAGGCTTCAATAATCTTACATGTTCACCCGTAAGTTATCTTTATAGTAGTCGTCCATGCAACCTTATTCCTAGTCTATCAGAGCAGGGTGAACTACAATGTAACTATCAAAATCTAGTCTTTAAGCAGGAAGACCGCATATCGTACATTTCTGCATGAATCAACAACGACCAGCCAAGCCCCAACACCACCACTAGCGTCACCAACCTATCCAAACTACTGATACTCAAAAATCGCAATCGCCTGCGGAAACCCCGCCTTGTTCGGCTGCTCATTCACCACGCCCACCCCATCCACCGTGACCATGTAAGTGGTTCCCACAGTCGCGAGCGCGTAGATGTACACGCTCTGGCTATTGTCTACAGCCAGGATATGCTCCTGGCAGTCGCGCATCTGGAGGCAGTCGCTCTTGTAGTTCTCGAAGAAGGAGTATAGGCCCGCCCCGTAGACGAGCACGTATTGTGAATTGACGACGCGGAGAGCAATTGTCTTGGGGCAGGTGGCCAGGAAGCAGTGGGAGAAGGTCGGGTCGTCGTAGTGGGGGTCGGCGGGGAAGGGGGTGAGGGAGTTGGGGTTGGCTTGCATGTAGCTATTGCGCAGGAGAGAAGTTTAGCGGTTGGTCTTTCAGACATTTTGGTAGGGTTGTGTCGGCGAAGACTGGGATGAACTGGGGAGTAGAAGCTGAACTTACGCGGTTTCCGACTGGATCAGCGACATGTAGACGTTCTGTGCGTTGGCGATCTGGTAGTTATACAGCACAGAGTGCTCGAAGCTGGTACCTAGCAACCATATACCCTTAGTAGTCTCAATCAGCACACCGCGCCCATTGTAGATGTTGATCTGCTGGCGTAGGCCCATGTCAAGCTCGTGATCGGACACCCAGCCCCAGATGTTCTCCATGTACATCGAGGCCGAGGCGGTGACGTGCAGAATCATGAAAGCGCAGATGCACTCGGGCTTCACGCTGGTCTTTACCGACGGAGTCTTGAGACATCTGTCTTCCTGAAACTGTGTACCTGCTGTGCCGCCGATGCGCCAGTGAGTGTCCCATAAGCCTGAGTGAAAACGTTAGCTATGCCCGTTGCATGTATAGCGTGAGAGTTCATACCTGCAGTACCCTGGCCAGACGCTTCGAGGTTCCATTCCATCAATATGGCGCCCGGCGAAGGCCCCATCGTCTCAAACATGATATCGCTCATCTCCAAGGTACCAACATCGCCCGGTCTGCCTACTACGAAGACTGGCTTCGGGTTGGCCATATCCATAAAGTTCGGATTGCCCTTAATCATGACGAGTGCGAAGCACTCTCCCACGAATTTGCGGTTGGGCGGGATAAAGATCTGCTTGGTCACAACGTAGGCACCGTGATCAAAGTAGATGATCTGATCCTCTCTTGCAGTGTTGATCACAGACTGTATGATATCCGAATCGTCTGTAACACCGTCGCCTTTGGCGCCGCGGTCCTTCATCGAGATGAACTGTGACAGGGGCACATTCTCGTACTGTGGCTTTTTGCGCGTGAAAATCCTTCCATTGCTGTCCAGTAGCACAGTAGGCTTCGGAGGGGGATTGACGGCCTGTTGGATACGTGCTGCCTGCGCAGCTGGTTCGTAGCACGTCATATTGTTGATCGATTCGGAGGCTTCGTATCCGTGATACACTCGTCCTTGAATCCATGACTGGATGATAGTCCCACCAGGGTAGATTACGTTGAAGTCAGGCTCAGGGCCGCCGACGGCAACTTGGCACCCTCTGCAATCGACGTTGTCCAAGATGACCGTCCCTCCGGAATGAGGAGACGATTTTGCTTCGAAGCTGGTCAATACGCCAGTAGGAACGTTGTTGAATACGGCGTCCTGCACAGTGAGGGAACCCATGTCGCCGAGATTGGTCACTTCGATGCCGACTCCGACGTTGTTGAAGGTAAAGCCTATCATAGACCACGTCCAGCCCCAGTTCATGAAAATGCCGGTCTGGCAATTGTTGAACGTAAAATTCCGGACCGTAAATTGCTGATTCCCGAAAAGGGCACCATAGTTGCCCCCGTTAAAAGTCATGTCACTCATCCAGCCTCCGGATCCGTTGTCCATGAAGATGCCGTACTGTTTGTTGTTATTACCGCCCCCTTGGACCATTTCGCACCTGATGTTTTGCAGCGACGTTGCTTGAGCGACCTGCCAATGTACGCAAGCTCCTCGCCCTGGAGGCACTTCTGTGATATCGATGACAAAGTTTCGTAGCTGCCGGAAGAAGTTGTTCTGATTCTGCCACCAGTTCTTGCCGGGTTCGATATTCGGGTAGTAGGGATCAGAGTCGAAAACGCCGATGCCGTAAAAGTTCGGCAGAGCTTTTACGACAGGGAGGTCAACAGCGTCGCCCACGACATGAGTGTTGTAGTACATGATTATCGGTTCCCTGACTCGGTACGTTCCGGGCGGAAAGTAGATCAGTCCAGGCTGTACGGTGCTCGATTCGCAAGTGTTGCCGCATCGATTACCATATGAGACCGCAAGGTTGAGCGCATCGGTGTCGTCCGTAACGCCGTCGCCTGTGAGAATCTTAGCATCTGCCTAGAACTGAGTAACTTCCAACATACCCATAGCACCAAAATCCCTCACATTACGAAAAAGCTGGTAATCGGTGTTGGTGTTGTAGGCGACCTTGCCCTGACGCCTGATGTTCCCAAACCACCATCTTGAAGACCATGATGACTGCCTACCCTCAAGTTCGACCATAGCCATAGACGCATTTTCTGCCGGAGAGAATGTGGCAACCTGATGTGGGATAAGCGTGTCCGTCTGCACTAGTGAGAACATATGTGACATACCGACAAGGCAAAGGCCACCAGGAGCAGAAGAATTCGCCATGATTGATACCGCGCCATGACTAGAAACAGCTTTCGAGTTCCGTCCACTCACTACTCTGAGCGATGCGCTACCCTGCTTGTTGTGGATATAACCCTGAGGCGCGCTGTAATGTGTGCAGTAGAGACTGTATAGGCTCAGCGGCCGGACTAGGAGATAGGAAGGAGCAAAAGCTGAACGAGCCGCATCAAGGTCAGTAATGGACGCTGGGCCAAAGGGATCGCAGGAAAGCATCCATGCCGGCAAAGGGCGTGGCGACTCGTCGAGCAGTGTTATGGTGATTCTGCGCGTACGGAATGCTGATGGGCGCTCCACCCAGGTCCACGGCTGGACTAGCCTCCTCCTTACTCGTATGGGTCGGATGCCGGCGGAATAGCGATGGAGTTGCGGTCGATGCAAGGGACAACAGACAGCAGTGGAATGTGGCAGACTTTGCAAGACCACGAGGAACGGGAAGCTAGGTTCTCGTACTCAGAGTGCACACCTTTTTTAGTTGAGTGGGTAGCTTGGTTGCAGAATCACAGTTGATTCTTGTAGAACATCCGAGATTAGGCTTCCTGAAAATGAGCGCTCAATATGTGGATAACCGTTCAGACCGAGCTCTTTTCTCCTCTTCATCTCTGCACGAACAGAAGCGTTTGAGAAGGGTATGTTCTGAGTAATCCGTCAAGTTGCGGAGTAAGCTGGGGAACCAACATAAAGAATCTCAGCCATATCGGCGGACCGTGGATAACGTTTCGTAGAGACTATGCGCTGATACCGGCCTGTCTCAGCTTCTTCAAATCCCTCAACTCCATACCATGCAAAATCTGGCTGGCGAGATGGGCATATCCTGCATCAGGCTCGGCTTCCACCACCCATAATTCTCTCCTCGCGCGTTCTCGCACTACGGGCCTTCTCCTGCGGCGTTGGTTTAAGCTCGTCATTCGGATCAGCTCTGCTCTTGCCATCCCTTGAGCCATCGAAAGAGGATAGTTCCGAGCCTTGACGGTTCTGCTGGGATTGTATGCGCCGCTGCCGATTGGCTTCGTAGGCAGCAATGTCGTCGGCCGTGAGGGTGATGACCGTTGCTGGACGGCGGAGCATTTTTGGAAGCTTCCGGAAGAGATAGAGGGTTTTGTGGCTAGCAGAGACACTAGCGTCGACAGGTAGAGACGGTGACTTGTTTTGCGAATAGAGACGTGACTTGGAGTAGTAGTGGAAGGGCTGGAGCGCGTTTGGGTCGCTGACAGTGTTGTCAGAGCCTGTCCAGGATTATACCTGCGTTGATGCTGTTCTGCGATGTTAATCTGACTCGAGAACAAGAGACACGAGAATCTATACTAGGTCTGAAAAGATGGTACTCTCGCAACCACAGCAAGCTGATGAAGCTGGAGCTTGAGGCGGCTCGGAGGTCCCGAAGTTCCTCCGGAATGAGAGACCTCCGAAAGTCCGCAACCGCAAAGCACGCAGTCTGTGTCTCGCGGCTGTCAATATGTTCGTATGGCATGGGCGCCCATCAATGGGGCTGGGAAGGCCCATAAGCCATGATGTAGCCAGGCTCACCGACGGTATTGCGGCGTCGCTCCGCCAATTTCACGTCTCGTCGACACAACATGATGAAGAAAGGCATCGCAAGCCTGTCGATAGCACGGAGACAGAAGACAGAAACCCTTCCGACAGGCCCGGTGTAAGATATACTTGTACGTTCTCTCAGACTCAGCTACAAGTCTGGGTGG